AATCTGGTTTAGCAGTTTCAGAAGTAGAAGAGTTCAGAACCTACCTATTTGTACTTGACACATCTATAGATGATTGTGATAGAGAAGCAACCATTTAGGATTAAACTGCAAAATTACGTATTAATGATGGAAAGTAGAAGAAATTTAATTTTACTAGGTTCAGTTAAAGTCTACATCTTGAGAGAGGTTAGGGGAAGTATTAGGAAATGTGACTTACAAGAATAAAGACATGCTTTATAACCCAGAAAAGTATTCTTCTTCTTGTTATTAATGTATGTTTAACATTCTGCTATAGTAAAATAAATAGAATATTTAGAAAGGGTCAGTAAACTATAAAAATATAACAAAATTATGTGTATTAACACATGGAAAATAATGTTTAATAAACATGGAATGATATATGACTTTTAGTCCTTCTCTACCTCAAGAATAGCATAATAAAGGTAATGCTAACTAAAATCCAGTGAGTATTTTAATACCTATGTGAGAATAGACTTTAAAAGCTTTGAATAGCTTGGGGGGGAAAAAAAAGCATGGATATCTGGACAGAAAAGGTTCAAAAAGAGGAAGCAACAAGAAAAATGGGCAAAAAAAAAAAAAAAAAGACTTAACAGTCTGGTGCCTGTGGCTCATGCCTGTAATCCTAGCTGTTTAGCAGGCTGAGATCTGAATCTCACTGTTCAAAACCTACCTGGGCAGGAAAATCTGTGAGACTCTTATCTCCAACAGACCACTAGAAAAACTGGAAGTGGTACTGTGGCTCAAGTGAAAGAGCGCTCCCCTTGAGCTTAAGAGCTGAGGGACAGTGCCCAAGCCCAGAGTTCAAGCCCCATGACTGACAAACAAAAACAAAACAATCTAATTATAAAATAGTATAAAATAGTAGATCATATTTAAAGAAAATGTTCTCGAGTCAAGGGGATATCATTTTAGTACCATGAAAAAAATACAGTTTGAAAAATATAGATATAGCCTATTATCTGAAAGTAGTTACTGACGTTATAGTGACAGTGATAGCACATGTTCTTAATCTTTTTTTTTTTTTGCGGTTGTGGGCCTTGAACTCTGGGCATGGGCGTTGTTCCTAAGCTCTTCAACTCAAAGTGAGTGCTCTACCACTTAAGACACAGTGCCAGTTCTGGTTTTCTGGTGGTTAATTAGAGATGAGTCTCATGGATTTCCTTTGCTTGGACTGGCTTTGAATTGTGATCCTCAGATCTCAGCCTCCTGAGTAGCTAGGATTACAGGCATGAGACACCAATCTTTTGATGTATGAAGATAGAAATTTTTTATAATCATTGGCTAGCATTCATTAGTACTTTGAAAGATCCCAAGTTGGAAAAGATTATCTGGTATTTCTTAGATTCAGTAGCAGTTTGAAGATCACTTGCAAAGTCCATAAATGGAATCTGGCTTTGTAAAATACAATAAGGCAATAATATCCAAATCTGATTTTTAAAAAAAAAATCATCTAAGATACTGTAAAAAATACTTGGGATCCTTCTGGATCATAAACTTTTTTTTTTTGGGGGGGGGGGGTCCGGTCATGGGGCCTGAACGCTGAGCCTGGGTGCTATCCCTTAGCTCTTCAGCTCAAGGCTAGCGCTCTACCACTTGAGCCACAGCGCCACTTCCGGCTTTTTTTTCTTTTTGCTTATGTGGTGCTGAGGAATCAAACCCAGGGCCTCATGCATGCAAGGCAAGTGCTCTACCACTGAGCCACCTTCCCAGCCCCTGGATCATAAACTCTTAAATGTTAAACAGATTCAGGTTAAGTATCTCTAATCTTAAAATATGAAAACTTCTGAAATCCAGTTTCTAATACTACCAAAATTTCAGGGTTTTTTTTTAAGATGAGGGATGTTTAACTAGAAAATTGATGAAATATTCCAAAACTTGTAACTCAAATCTGAAACACTTCTGGCCTAAGAATTTCAGATAAAAGAATACCTAACCTGTAAAAGTTTATATGTATTAATAAATAAAAATAAAAGTAGCAATTTAAACTGATATAGTAATATTCATGTTTAAGTTTACTAGTTAATTTTTTAGATTAGAAACTTGAAATCATTTGAAATTCTGAAAATGAATGTTTGCTCTTTTAATCAAATTCTTTTTTAATTAGGATCCCATCTATTTTTTCATTAGTTTGTTTAATACAATTAGAATGACAATTTATGTTTCTTTCCCACACTTTTGTTTAACCCTGATTCTTTCCAGATGTGATAGGCATTAGTTTTTTTTTCCTGTACCATTATTTTTCAAAAGTCATCTGCTACTTAAATACTAATTTGTATTTTTTATTTTTTTGTCGGTTGTGGGGCTTGAACTCTGGGCGTGATCGCTGTCTCTCAGCTCTTCAGCTCAAGGCTAGCGCTCTACCACGTGAGCTACAGTGCCACTTCCGGTTTTCTGGTGGTTTATTGGAGATAAGAGTTTCATGGTCTTTCTTGCCCGGGCTGGCTTTGAACCACGATCCTCAGATCTCAGCCTCCTGAGTAGCTAGGATTACAGGCATGAGCCACTGGCACCCGGCTCTAATTTTGGAATTTTTGACATTTAGTTATAACTTTCCTGTTGTGTTTGTATTTCTATAAGAAAAATTAACTACCAAAAAGCAGTAAGTGGAGCTGTGGCTCAAGTGGTAAAGTGTCAGCGTTGGGCACAAAAAGCTGCCATCAGGGTCTGGGACAGCACCCAGACTGAGTTCAAGCCTGGTACAGGCACACACACATGAAAGGATAAAAATGTCTTTAGGCTATCTCTGATTATGCCAGTTTACTTCTCTAAAATGCTATATATGTAACTTTTACCTAATACATTAGCAGGTCCATTTATCCAATAAAATGCAATATTATCTTAAAAAACAAAACTCAACCAATTTGTTAGTTGGAAATGTTATTTTTTTATGTTACTGTTGTAGTACCTGGCACTATTTTTTTTAAAAATTAGTTTCTCAGTCATCTGGAAAGAAAATCTTGAGTGACATCATTAAAAACAGCTCTGATAAAGTAGTCACTACTACATATCATAAAGTGGGTACAAGGTATTTGACATTCACAGAGTTATGATACAGTATGTCCATAATACTAGAGGAAACAATTAAAAAGGCATTATTAAGACTTGATTCTACTTTTTCAACAGAGGGCCCAAAGGATAGTATGACAGTTCTGTAAAGAAATGTACTTTCAGCCAGACACCTTTGGCTCACCTCTGTAATTCTAGCTACTCAGGAAGCTGAGATCTGAGGAACACAGCTCAAAGCCAGCCTGGACAGGAAACTTTGTAAGATTCATGTAAACTCCAATAAACTACACACAAAAAAAGCTTGAAGTGGTGCTGTGGCTCAAGTGGTGGAGCACTTGCCTTGTGTAAGAGAAGCTCACTCAGGACAGTGCCCAGGCCCTGAGGTTAAGCCCCAGGAATGCCCCCCCCCCACGCCAAAAAAAGAAAAAGAAAAAAAAAAGAAAGCACTTTCTTAGATAGGATTTCCTTCCATAAGTGGCGCAGGATTTCCTTTGTGGTACAGTTCTAAGTAGGAAATGTTATTTTAAATTGCATGTTTTAATTACTAGTAAGCTTTCGAGCATTATGTTCATGGTCTTTTCATTTTTATGATTTGTATACAGATGATCTCTTTAGGATGTAAACTTTTTGGTAATCCAATATGTGTACAGTTTAAGAGTTTATGGTGATGAACATACAGTTAATAGATGATAATGTCAGAGAAAAAGAATTTAGGAATACTGAGCCTAAAGGACACTATAAGGAGTTTCAAAAAGTGTAACTGGGTATTCTTTTTACTTTAAGCATGGAAACCATGGGAAATATGTGCACCTAAGAAAATGTTACATACATTTATTACTTACTTAACTTTCTCTTTTCTGTTAGGTTTCTATGAATTGCTTTACCTTTGGTCAGTTTTATTTTGGTTTAATCCAAAAAAGCAGAAATTCTAAAATTTTGGAATAAAAGAGTTGTTAGGGTAGAGAAAGGAAAAGCAAGAAGACCCAGAAATAAAATGCAGTGGAATAATAGGTTTCCTCCATGGTATACTTTCTGCACATCTTAAGTAGAGCTTTCCAAAATAAAATGTTTGCTGGAGTTTCTGAACTAATTTAATAAAAGAACTGAAAAGGTATGCCAGGCACAAAAATTTCTTGAGGCCAATCCCAGCACAGGAGGCTAAGCACAGAAGCAAGTTCCAGACCTGAGACCAGCCTGGGTTACATAATGATACCCTGTCTGAAAAAACAATGGAGGAGACTGTTGATATATTTGTATAGTATGAAAAACATATTTATAAAGGTCCAATATTAAATGCAGATTAGAATCTAATTAGACTGTTGATATATTTGTATAGAATGAAAAACATATTTATAAAGGTCCAATATTAAATGCAGTTAGAATCTAATTAGTTACTACAAAAGTACAAAGCAGTAGGTTAAGGGTATATTACTTCCCAAAAGCATGTTTGCAGAGTGTAGTAGAAATAGTATGCAGTTCAGTAGGTACAGGTTATGGTTATGATTCTTCAACTGATAGTTTGTCTGGTGACCTGTAGTAGGCTTGTCTTTGGATCTCTATTTCCTTGTACCTCTCCTAGAATGAGATAGGCAAGACTGTAGGACATTGGACATATGTCTTTTTTTTTTTGGGGGGGGGGGGGGGTCCGGTCATGAGGCCTAAACTCTGGGCCTAGGTGCTGTACCTCAGCTCTTCAGCTCAAGGCTAGCACTCTACCACTTGAGCTACAGCACCACTTCCGGCTTTTTTCTTTTTGCTTATGTGGTGCTGAGGAATCGAACCCAGGACCACACGCATGCAAGGGAAGCGCTCTACCACTGAGCCACCTTCCCAGCCCCTGGACATATTTCTTAAGATATTTTATTGTTATAACTTTCTTCTGTTGTTTTAAATTATGAATACTACAGAATTCCTTGTGAAAATTTTCTTAAGGTTTGTAACTTACTAAGCTTTCTTAATATTTTAAACTTTAGGGAAGACAAATAAGGAATTTGCATAAGTCATCTGTGCAAAATGGTGCTGGAGGAGCCTTATTTGTGGTAAGTAATGGAAAGACGTGGAAATTTATGTGAAACGATTGTAATATCTAGAATATTTGGTGAAGAGAGAATAGTTTTGTGTAGAGTGCTTGCATGGTGTATCTATCAATCTTAAAAAAAACCTTAAACACAAGTGTTTGGTATATGTAGGACATTGTAGGTATTTAAATAGAATTTATTAAATTCATTATGTCAAAAAATGTGAGATTCTAGCTGAATCTAAATATAAACTGTCATCAGAGGATTTCTAAGAATAATAAATTACTCTTCGATGAAATTACTATGACTCTTAAATTGATGCTCATCCAACTTTGAAGATTATGAAACTGATTTGGGAAATCCTAAACTGGCACTCATTTAAAACTCAGGTATTTTAATAATATTATGTGAATTAAATTAGCAGTTAGTCTTTATAGTTTTGTTCTAATAGTTTAACTACTAATAAGCTCCCCAGTTTGTTGGGAAGAAGGATGAGATACTGCATTTGTTCTGATGTGATGCATTATTTAGGGATTAACTTTTGTGTTACAGGGCAACATCTTACGATGTGTATAGTGTATAATGATTTAGAGTTGGTATTGTAACTAGCTTCCTGCTTTATCACTTTTGACTAAAATTAAATTGGTCTCTCACGTTTGATTTTATTGTCAAATTTCTACTTTATTTATTTTTTTTGTCGGTCATGGGGCTTGAACTCTGAGCCTGAGTGCTGTCCCTGAGTTCTTCAGCTCAAGGCTAGTGCTCTACCACTTGAGCCACAGTGCCACTTCCGGTTTTCTGGTGGCTTACTGGAGATAAGAGTTTCTCGCCTTTTCCTGCCCACACTGGCCTTTTTTTTTTTTTTTTTTTTTTGGTATGGCCAGTCCTGGGGCTTGAGTTCAGGGTCTGGGCACTGTCCCTGAGCTTCTTTTTTGCTCAAAGATAGCTCTCTACCACTTGAGCCACAGCGCCACTTCCAGCCTTTCTGTTTATGTGGTACTGAGGAATCAAACCCAGGTGCTGTGGGGGGCTAGGAATGTGGCTTAGTGGGAAAATGTTTGCCCGTGCAGGCTTTGAACTGCAATCCTCAGATCTCAGCCTCCTGAGTAGCTAGGATTATAGACTTGAGCCACGGGTGCCCAGCTTCTACTTTTTAAAAATTTTTTAAATTTTTTTGTGGATTGTGGGGCTTGAACTCTGGGCTTGGGTGCTCCACCTGAGCTCTTCAGCTCAAGGCAAACACTCTACCACTTGAGCCACAGCACCACTTCTGGTTTTCTGAGTGGTTTATTGGAGATAAGAGTCTCATGGACTTTCCTGCCCTGGCTGACTTTGAACTGTGATCTTCAGATCTCAGCCTCCTGAGTAGCTAGGATTAGAGGCGTGAGCCACGGGTGCTGGGCTGATTGAATGCCCTTTTAACAAGGCAAACTGAAGTTGTTTATTAAGTTTTTTTATCACACATATACAAATGTGTTCCTAATAATCTTAGTATGACTCAATTTGTTGTTGACCTGACATTTTTTGTTAGTTTTCTACAAGAACCTGCTTTGTTTTTAAAAAATACTTATTTATTGATTTTGGGGTTTGAACTCCTCAGGGCTAATACTTGTTGAAATCAGGTGTTCTACCACTTGAGTCACAGTCCCTTTCTTTTCTGTGTTCTTTTTTAGATGAAGGTCTCAGGCTTTTTGCTTGGGGTTGGCACTCCTACCTAAGCTCCTGACTAGTAGCTGAGAGAGTGAATAGCTGGGCTTTATAGATGTTTACCACTATACACTGCTCATGTGTTGAGATGAGTCTTGCTAACTTTTTGCCTTCCTCAGCAATCCTCTCAATCTTTTGCTCTTGAGTACATGATTACAAGTATGAGCACTATGCACAGCCCTACAGGTCTTTTGTAAAATTTTTTTAAATTGTGAAAATACTGTACAGAGCAGAGGGGTTACAATTACCCTACAGGTCTTAATGTTGGGTAATTTCTGTTTAAGGAAGGACATAGTGTTCTTATATCACCTAGATCCTTTTTATAATTGAGAGCCTTTTTTATTTTGGAAAAATGCACTTTATAAATCTTAATTTCATAAAGCTTCCAATAACTGGTAGTATTTGGTAATTAAATTAGAAGATCTTATTCCAAGAAAGTTGGATTACATTAAAACACAACAACAACAACAAAAACTAAACATAGCTAGGCGCTGTTGGCTTACTCCTGTAATCTTAGCTACATAGAAGGTAAGATCTGAGAATCACTGTTCAAAGCCAGCCTGAGCTGGATAGTCTGTGTGACTTATCTCTAGTTATGGACACCCTCCAACAAACAAACAAAAACTAACAGCTGGAAGTAGAGCTGTTTCTCAAGTGGTAGAAGGCTAGTCTTGAGCAAAAACACTCAGGGACAGTGCTCTTGGTTCAAGCCCCAGGACTAGCACAAAAAAACAAAAACTGAATTTTAAAAAAATGAAAGCTACTCTTGCCCTTTAAAGGGTACTTCCTAAAACTGTTCAAACATTTTCAATTCTGATGACTTTTGAAACAAGATGTCAAATTACATTTTGGTCAATGTTGATGAAAGAATAAGTTGACAACATGTTGGAATTATAGTGGAGAAATTAAATGATTTGTCATAGTATAATATATATAGTGTTACTCATACTTTATCAACAGTTTGGTAATTGTGGAAAACCTTTTGTGTAGCACAGAGATACGCCTGAGAATAACCCAGATATCCCATTTGATTTCACACCAGAAAACTATAAGGTATGACTATTTAACAATACAATGAATTTATAAAATACTTAATATTTTGTCCAGATATATAAAATGAGTGCTTTTTCTTTTATACAGAGAATAGAAGCAATTGTGAAAAACTATCCAGAAGGACACAAAGCAGCAGCTGTGCTTCCAGTCCTGGATTTAGCCCAAAGGCAGAATGGGTGGTTGCCCATCTCTGCTATGAACAAGGTACTGAATTTATTCTCCTTCTGAAATGAGGGGAGATACTATGTGGTAATTTCTTATCTAGAAATTATCCTGATAATATTAATGTCAGAGTTTAGGCCCTGAGTTCAAGCCACAGAACTGGTACAAAACAACAACAACAAAAAAAAAACACACTAAAACCAGAAAATTACAAGTTTGTTTAATTATAAAAACTTGTAAATATTTGATTAGGTGATTATTTTTCAATAAAACATGTTTCTTTGGGAGTTAAATTGTTTAAAAAATTAACATAGACAACTCTAAATAATTATTTAAGTTTGTAATCATAGTTTTGTTTTATTTTCTTCAGAAATGTATGTTTTGAGAAAGGAAAGCCCTTGGAAGTCTTGCCGAGTAGAAGGCTTCAAGTAAAACAAATTAAACAACTACTATGAGAGCATTTAAAATGTATTGTCCTATTGAATTTAGAGTTGGATACGTGTGAAATAGAGACAGGAGATGAAATATAGAGATTTCACTATCCTTCCTTCCCCAACCCAAGAAATAGTCCATTTTACAACAAAAACAAAGTCAAGAAGCTCAAGCAGTAAACATAGCTAACATGGAAGGCAGATATCAGAGGACCAGTGTTCAAGGCCAGCCCTGGCATAAAAGTTTGCAAGCCTCCATCTTCACTAATTGTTTCACGTGACTGTGTGGGTTGTTATCCCCAGCAACATGGGAAAGCTCAAGTAGAAGGATAATGGCCTAAGCACACCTCAGCATAAAATGAGACTCTACCTTGAAAGTAACATGCAAAGAGAGACTGCAAATGTGACTTAAATGGTACCACATCTGCCTAGCAAGCCGGAGGCCCAGATTTCAATCCCCAATACCCCTGGTCCCCTCTTCCCCCCCTCCAAAAAAAAAAAGCTCACTTATTCCTCTTCCAAGATTCCAGGGGGAGATTTTCCAAAGTAGACAATTAGGGTCTTACTACACATTTATTCAGTATAATAGTAGGGCTCTAACATGCATTTTGATGAGAGTTCTACAAATTCAGATGTTCATCCCTGATTTAGAACCACCAAATTAAGTGCACATTTTCTTTTTTTTTGGGGGGGGGGGGGTCTGGTCGTGGGGCCTGAACTCTGGGCCTGGGCGCTGTCCTCAGCTCTTCAGCTCAAGGCTAGCGCTCTACCACTTGAGCCACAGCACCACTTCTGACTTTTTTTCTTTTTGCTTATGTGGTGCTGGGGAATCAAACCCAGGGCCTCATGCATGTAAGGCAAGCGCTCTGAGCAAGCCACTGAGCCATCTTCCCAGCCCCTGCACATTTTCTTTAAAGTTCTTGATGTAGCAAAGTCCAACATGTTTGTCAACTGAAATGCCATTTAATTAGCTATTCTTTCATGTCAGTAGATGTATGCATAATTTTTAAGAATGCCAGACAGCAGGTTTTAAAACTCAGAGTATATTTACTAACCTAGAAAGTTGTAGCTACAATCACTCACAATAACTTTGCAAAGACCAGCCCTAGAAAACAGCTTTAAAACTCTTTTCTTCAGTCCTAGTCTTTCCCTAAGTGATTGAAGGGAATTAAGAATTGCCAATAAGATTCAGCTTTTGGATTATTCTGGGGCAGGGTATATACACATATGAGGTTTTAGGTATAAAATTTGAGTTTAGATATGTGAATGTAGAAGTATATAAACAAATATCAGCTAGTAGTTACCTTTGATTTACCATTTTTTTCTAGTGACATATATTTGCATACACCATACATGACTTAGCAATATGAAATTTTTTTGAAAAATTGGTAACAAAGTTTGAAAAAAAATTAACCTGTTTCCAAATATTTGGGTTTAGCCCCCAAATTTTTGCCATGTGAACAGTTTGAATTGGAAAATGTGAGTGGAAATGGTCCAAGTAGAAAGTCCTAATACTTCAAGACAAATATTTAAAGAAAACACCCTTCTGGAGGAATGAAAAGAGAAGCCATTAGGTTCTCTGGGCTCTGGTTTTTTGTAAGATATTTACAAAAGTTGAAGGATTTAGAGTATAACAGTCAGATACAAGTGTGTTTTCTGCCTTTGAAGAACTTTTTTGTTTTTAGCAAATTAAGCCAACATTGAAGTTATACTTTTTATAGGTAGTTACTAAACCTTGTAATTATCTTCTTTAATAATTTGCTAAATTTCAGGTTGCAGAAGTTTTACAAGTACCTCCAATGAGAGTATATGAAGTTGCAACTTTTTATACAATGTATAATCGAAAGCCAGTTGGAAAATACCACATTCAGGTCTGCACTACCACACCTTGCATGCTTCGTAACTCTGACAGCATACTGGATGCCATTCAGAAAAAGCTTGGTATGGAATACATTGTATTTATAACTTTTAAAATTAGAGTTGTCTTTCTAGATTTGACTATTTTAACTTCTACCATCTGTGTGTGTGTGTGTGTGTGTGTGTACGTGTGTATATATATATGTGTGTGTGTGTATATATATATGTGTGTGTGTATATATATATACACACACACATATATATATATATATATACACACATACACACACACACACACACACACACACACATATTTGTGCCAATCAGGGGCTTGAACTCAGAGCCTAGGCACTGTCCCTGAGCTTTTAGTGCTCGAGGCTAGGGCCTTTACCACTTGAGCCACAGTTCCACTTCCAGTTTTTTAGGTGTTTAATTGGAGCTAAGATTCTCACAGACTTTTCTTCCTGGCTGGCTTCGAACCAGGATCCTCAGACCTCAGCCTTCTGAATAGCTAGGGTTTACAGGTATGAGCTAGATTTATTTATTTATTTATTTTTACAGTTTATTTATTTTTATTTATTTTTTTATTGTGAAAATACTGTACAGAGGGGTTACAATTACATGGGCAAGATAATAAGTACATTTCTTACCAAGCATTGTAGCCTCCTCTTTTGTTTCCCCTTCCCATATCTTCCCATTCTCCCCCTGCCCCCCCCAATCCTCCCCACTCTCACCTAGATTTATTTTTACCTTCTAATAAACATTTGTTTTTCTGCTATTTGCATACACTTTTATTGTATTTTGTTTTCTATAATTCTCAGCCTCAAAGCTGAGTTTTTACTTTTTGTTGTTGTTGTTTTTTGTCGGTCGTGGGGCTTGAACTCTGGGCCTGGGTGCTGTCCCTGCGCTCTTCAGCTCAAGGCAAGCGCTCTTCCGCTTGAGCCACAGCACTACTTCCAGTTTTCTAGTGGTTTATTGGAGATAAGAGTCTCAGGGACTTTCCTGCCCAGGCTGGCTTTGAACCATGATCCTCAGATCTCAGCCTCCTGAGTAGCTAGGATTATAGGCGCCCGTCAGAGTTTTTACTTTTTTTTTAATCATAAAATATGTTTATAAAAAGCTTCTAGAAGTTTTAAAGTTTTACACTGCTTATGCTAGATTTATGCTATCATTTATGATAGCATGTTGTACATAAAAAATAAACAAGGATTGTGTATTCGCATGTATATCTTTGGGAGGGTGTTGGTGGGGAAAGCACAGAATGCAGCAGTGGAGCTCACTGGACATTGCTAAAAGTAAACTATACAACTTGTGTGTGGAGACAGGGGGGAGAGACTGGGAGAAAATGAGGGAACAGAAGACACTACCAAAAGAAATGTACTCATTACCTGACTCATGTAATTTTAATCCCTCTGTACATCATTTCTGTAATAACAAGTAAATTAAAAAAAAGTAAATATGGAACAAATAAGATATTAACATAGTAAAAAACTTGTTAGAAAAAGAAACTTAAAATAGCATTTTTATTGTTGATCATTTTTATTTTCAATGCTGGTGACCAGACTCTGGTCCATGCCCAGGCTCAATAAGGGATCAATCACTGAGCTGTATTGCAAGCCCCACATAGGTGGGTTTTTGTTGTTGTTGTTATTGTTATTGTTTTTACCAACATTTATACAGCAAATAGGAATTTTCATACAAAACGGCCATTGCTATGTAGATGAGGCATGCAGTTTTAAGATTAGATGAAGTAAAAGGAAGTACCTTTTAATTTTGGTTCTTAATATAAATTTGCATGTTGCAGATAAGTTGGGCATTATGGAAGTTATAAAGCAGAAAAGTCAGTTTAGTTCAAAATTCCAGCTGCAAGGTATAAATTCTGATAACTGATACATTAGTTGCAGATTTTATATGCTTTATTCAGTACATAAATGTAGCATATTTGTGGTTGGCATTTTACACCTTATTTTTGGCCATTTCAGCATGTTTACCTCATTATTGTATATTTTATTATTCTGTACTTTCATATACATGTGTCCACATACTTGTCCTGCTGTTACAAGAAGAATCATTGGATAAGACATTACCTTATTTTCCCAAAAATACATGAGTCTAATTTTTCTCACCACCTTAAATTATATATTACAAGTTTTCTGAGTCTTTACCAGTCTGGTTCTGTGACTCTGTAATAGTAGTCTAGTTTCATTACAATCACAATGAAATAATACAGTCTAATAATTTTATTATTGTTTTGTTTTGTTCTATTCTGGTACTGGGACTTGAACTCAGTTCAAGCTTTTTTTTTTTTTTTTTTCCGCTCAAGGCTGGCACTCTACCACTTGTTATATTTCCACTTCTAGCTTTTTGCTGAGTAATTGGAGATAAAAGTCTCCTGCCAGGAGTTGTCTTACAACTGTAGATCTCAGTCTCCTGTGAGCCACTTGTACGAGGCCCAAAATTTGTTTTTAAGGGAGTAAGACCACTTAAAAAGTACTAGGTTGGGCTGACTTAACATAAAATAAAGTTTGCAATATTAAGGATATAGAGAGATTGGTGGTAGAATGTTAAATTGGTAAGGCTACTTTGTAAAAAGTTTTATAGTTCCTCCAAAGTGATTGGTACAGTCACCGTATAATTCAGAAATTCTATTTTCTTGTACATACAAACCATGCATCCAAATATTTGAATGTTCATTGCAACATTATTCACAGTAGCCAAAAACTATAAGTAACCCAAATGTTTAGTAATAAATGAATAAATAAAATCCATACAATGGAATATTATATTAGAATGTAGTGATAAATGCTACAGTAAGGATTAACCTTGAAGGTATCACAATGAAGGAAACAAGTGAGATACAAAGGTAAATTCTTTTTCATTTATATGAAGTAGAAGAAAACCTGTATGAACAGAGAGACTTAACGGTTTTCTGGGATAGTGAAGAAGAAATACTGAATTGATTTCTTTGTGGTGGTAAAAAAGTGTTTTTACTCCAGACACTAGTGGCTCAGGCCTGTATTCTAGATAATTAGGAGACTGAGATCTCAGAATTGTAGTTTGAGGTCAGCATGGGTAGCAAAGACTGTAAGACTCTTATTTTCCAGTTAACCACCAGAAAAACCAGAAGTGGTACTGTGGTTCAGAGTTGTAGAGTGTTAGCTAGCCTTGAGCAAAAAGGGTTCAAGGACAGCCCAGGCCCTGAGTCAAGCCCCATGACTGACCAAAAAAGTGTAATAATATTTACATAGCTAAGACTGCAAAGACTGTAGCTATACTAAAAACCATTAGATTGTCTACTTTAAATTTGTGAATTTTATGGTATTCAATTTGTATCTCAATAAAGCTGTTATTATTTGGTAGTAAAAACAACAACAAAAAACAACTACCACAGAACTAAGCTGACTAGAGGTATGGCTTAAGTGATAGAATACCTGCTTAGTAAGTGTCAACCTTAATGTCATACACCCCTCCAAAATCAGTAATATACTGTATTGACCCTCCTAAGTTGCTGGGATTGTAGGTATGCTACCTTGCCCTGGCTTTTTTTTTCTTTTCTTTTAACATACTTTTTAAAGCAAGTTAATTTCCACATATACAATGAGCCCCATAAACCTCATCCATTCTATCATTCTCATGCTGCCTTTTCTTTTTCTTCTTTAAAGAAAGCAAATGCTCTTAGCAGAGTGCTGGTTGACCCATGTCTGTAAATCGTAGGAACTTAAGAATCCAAGAACTGGAGGGTTGTGGTTTGAAGCTACCCGGCATGCACATGAAATTCCTCAGGGGAGACTCAGTTGAGAGGATCACAGTCCCAGGCCAGTTTGAGAACCTCCATCTTAGGGGAAAGAAGCTGGGTATAGTGTCACATGACTATCATCCCAGATACTATGGGAATCCCAATGTAGGTGGATTGAGTTTCAGGCATGCACCCAGGCAGAAAGTGAGACCTATCGCAAAAATAAACAGCAGGATAGTAGAGTGCCATCTGGCAATGACTTCAAATTGCAGCAGGGGGTGGAGGCGAAGGAATTAATACTCTTAAATACTTTTTGTTTACCTGTGTAATATATTGTGAGCTTTGCATTAGTTTGGGGTTTTCCTAAACCGGATGTCTATTAATGTATAAACTGGTCCTTATGATGATCGTTTATATTTTCAGAACTGAAGGTTGGGGAGACAACACCTGACAAACTTTTCACTCTTACAGAGGTGGAATGTTTAGGGGCTTGTGTAAATGCACCAATGGTTCAAATAAATGACAACTATTATGTGAGTACCCTATTTAATGTAAAGTTCTATATTATAACATACTTTTAAGTATTTTAAGTATTTCATGTAGATGTTTCTGAGTTACTCATATAGAAGAAAAAACTATTAGCATAGATATCTAGAAGGTTTAGTTCTGGTGTGTGTGTGTGTGTGTGTGTGCGCGCGCGTGTGTGTGTGCGTGTGTGTGTGTGTGTGTGTGTGTGTGTGTGTGTGTGTGTGTGTCATTGTCATTCCTGGGACTTGGATTCAATGTATGTGTGTGTGTGTGTGTTTCTCATTGTCATTCCTGGGACTTGGACTCAATGCTTGGGTGCTTGTCCCTGAGCTTTTTTGCTCAAAGGTAGCATTCTTCCACTTGAGCCCCACAGCTCCAGTTCTGGCTTTTTGGTACTTAGTTGGAGATAAGAGTGTCATAGTTTGCCTGCCTTGGCTGGCGTTTGAACCAAGATCCTCAGATCACAGCCATCTGAGTAGCTAGGATTATAGCTAATCATGTAAAATTTGATCATTTACATATAAATAATTACTTTTGGTGTAAAAACCAAAGCTTTAATAGTAACATTTTGCTACCTTTACTACAGATGTTATTATATTTATCATCACAGTCATCATAATTATTTGTAGAAAAAGTTACAGATAGAGGTAAAGTCTCCTACTTGAAATGCTTGTTATCATATTCTTCCTATATTTGCTTTAAAGTGTTTGCTATACCTCACTTCTCAATGCAAAAGTTTCCTACTATTTTCTTTGATAGACATTTAAGTTTCTACTTTACCCTTATTTTGAGAGGATTATCTCACTCTTTTAACCTTTAAAAACCTAGAAGCCAGTAGGGTGTTGGTGGCTCACCTGTATAATTCTGGCTACTCAGGAGACTGAGGTCTGAGTATTGCAGTTCAAAGCTAGCCCAGGCAGGAAAGTCTGTGGGACTCCTATATCCAATTAACCACCTAAAAAATGGAAATAGAGCTTTGACTCAAAAGTGGTACAGTGCTGGCCTTGAGAACTCAGGGACAGTGCCCAGGCGCTGAGTTAAAAAAAACTCAGAGCCCAAATTCACTCAGTGTTCCAATTGGCTACCTGGGTTTTCTTTAAATTTTTGGCTTCTAGGTATGTATTTTTGCTAGGAGTTAGGAATTAGGAAATCAAGTATTCCCTCATATGAGGCATTATCTGTCTAAATGCAGTCTACAGGCAGATTTTTCCAAAAGAGATCTTTCAGTTAGTAGCAGTTAGGTCTTTTTTTTGGGTCTGGTCGTGGGCCTGAACTCTGGGCCTGGGCGCTGTCCCTCAGCTCTTCAGCTCAAGGCTAGCGCTCTACCACTTGAGCCACAGCACCACTTCTGGCTTTTTTTCTTCTGCTTATGTGATGCTGAGGAATCAAACCCAGGGCCTCATGTATGCAAGGCAAACGCTGTACCACTGAGCCACTTTCCCAGCCCAGAAGTTAGGTCTTTTGATTTTACATAGATAGCTTTTAGTCATCTGCTTACAATTATTAGTGGTAATTGTTTTTATAACTCACTGTTTCTTCAAAGATACAGCATAAATTTAGCTTGGCACTCTTCTTTATATATTTTCTCATGTAATCCTTAAAAACAGGTTCACATAGATACACAAACAGAGAAACAAACTTGAGGAGAGTAACAATAACCTGTGCAAGAATGCTACACATTAAGGGATTAGCCAGAATTTAAATGAAGACATTTCACTTTAAACACACATTGTTTTACCTATTCTACTACAGTTCCTGCTGCACTTGACATTTAACAGTATAAACTATAATTGGAGTTATTGAGTTGATGCTATTTTAACAGCTACCGTGTGAACTTAAGAGAGATGACAGTAAACTAATTGGCATTAGGGCTTTACAAAGCTTTCAGCATTAGGAAATAATTTCAATGTTATGTAAAAATTTTTCTAGGAGGATCTGACACCTAAAGATATTGAAGACATTATAGATGACCTCAAAGCTGGCCAAGTTCCAAAACCTGGGCCAAGGTATGCCTTTACATAAGACATTTTAATGATTTAACCTAAATTGAATTGACCTTTCACATAAACTTGACTTTTAAAATTGCATATGTTAAGTTCATAGGAGTTAGCAGGAACTAATCTGTCGCCCTAAAGCAAGAATTTTTCTGTTTTTTGTTTTTTTCTTTTATTCTGTCATGTGGGCTAGGTAGAACTCTTGCCTTGTAAGAATACCCTTGATTCAATCATTAGCACCTCAAAAAACAAAAAGAAAAGGAAGGGAGAAAAAAAAGGTCAGGTAATTATGATTTTTACCTGAATATTCAGAAGGGTAACCTATTACAAAGAGGAATCTATTTTGTTGATTAAAAGTTCATATTCCTAGAATACTAACCAGAAGACTTGTCTCATTTTAATTTCTGTCAGTTCTGTATTTAATCAATACAGGATTAATTTTAATACTTTTTCCAGATGATAACTCTTCACTTAATCAGAAGAGCTCTCTTGTCTTCCTTTCGTCTGATTGCTTATCTACATTATTTCATCGCTTTTTGTTACAGTTTTTGTTTACCTCTTCTGTGTGATTTCTAGTTGGCCTATTCTACTTCAGTGTGATTCTGAAACTACAGTGTTCATGTTGACATTTCGCTTAACAAGAGAACACATATACAGTGGTCATCACATAAGATTATAATGGAAATCAAAATTTCCTATTACCTAGTAGTAGTATTTTTCTCTATGCTTAAACACACATATTTAACATTGTGTTATTATTGTCCATAGTCCTCAGTTCAGTAATTTACAGGTTTTTATTCTAGAGTTAATCAGCTATACCATGCAGTCAAGGTATATTAGGATACTTAGGTTTGTATAAGTGTATTCTGATATTTGTACAATGACAAAATCACCTTCAGGTGCATTTCTTAGGATGTATTCTCATCCTTAAGCTGTACATAACTATATGTGATAATATGTATTGAGCAATGCAATCCAATTATGACTCTTATTTAAAATATACAATTAATTACACTTAGAGTCACGTAGAATGCTTGGATACTTTTCAGCTTATCCACTATTTTTCCAGGTTTTGTCCATCCTATGCTGTTGTATACCAGTTACTTTTCTTTTAATTATGAATGTGAGGGCTGGGAAGGTGTCTCAGTGGTAGAGTGCTTGCCTCATATGCATGAAGCCCTGGGTTCGATTCCTCAGCACTACATAAACAGGAAAAGCTGGAAGTGGTGCTTTGGCTCAAGTGGTAGAGTGCTAGCCTTGAGCTGAAGAGCTGAGGGATAGTGACCAGGCCCCGAGTGAAAGCCCCACAATTGACCGAAAAAAAAAATATGAATGTGAACTTTTACTGCTAAACAAATCATTTTTCCAGATGTGTTTGGGTGTTGAACATTCTCTTAATACTATATATACACATACATATGTATTTTTTAATTTTTTTCTTTATATGTTTCTTTATCTCAAGTCATTTTTAGGTATTTTTGTTGTTTTTATTTTGTGCTGGTACTGGGACTTGAACCTAAGGGCCTAGGCATTGTCCCTTAGCTTTATCAGTCAAAGCTAGCACTCTACCACTTGAAGCACACCTACACTATAGCTTCTTGCTGGTTAATTGGAGATAAGCCTCAGCTGACTTTGAACTTTGAGCCTTCATATCTTAGCTTCCTGAGCTGAGTAGCTAGGAATATATATATGAGACACCAAAGCCCAGCTTTCATTTGTAGGTTTTAATGGCCATCTGATGCTTGCAAAGAAAAGTGATACACTGTTTATTTCCCCATTTTAAAACATTTTTCCTAATTTTTATTGTACATAATAATTCCCTGAAATTAAATTACAAAGTCAGAATATAGAGTGGTTCTATCTATCTATAATTTGCTTTCTAGAGTTACTCACCCATAATCATACCTTAATAAGAAAATGAAGTCAATTCAAGATAAGTTTATTAAATATCAGCTACTCCTATTGATTACTGCTTTGCTGAGAAACATATACTACTTACGACACCCTTGAGCCCTGCCTACTTTGCTTAAAGAAGTTTTTCATTCTTGTCCTACTTCCTTGGGCTACCCTTTTTAAAGAAGTATAGCATTTCCAATGTGAAAAATCATTCTGTTTGGAGGCAAGCAAAGTAAAACTGTCATTTAACATAATAGTATCTTTCTGAATAAGTGGTCTTATCCTTTACTGATGCTTGCTTTAAATGTTTATTTCCAAATCCACCACCAAATTCCCTTCTTCACAGTATTTTCCACAAACCTCAAACCTTTACAATTGTTTTTAAATAAGTTTATGGGGTTTGTTTTTCTTATTGTGAGAGTGATGTTTGAACTCAGAGCCTTGTGCTTATCAGGAGGTCCTCTATCACTTTAGCCATATACCCAACCCTTTTTTGCTTTCATGTTTTTTCAGATATGATCTTGCTTTTTGTGTGAGTTGGCCTGGACAGATCCTTCTGTTTATGCTTTCCTCATAACTGGGATGACAGGTGTAAGCCACTATACCCAGCCTTTTCTTTTGGTTGAGATGGAGGTTTTTCCAGCATTTAATTGGATTGGCCTCAAACTCCCAACCTCACTTCCTGATTAGCTAGTATTACAGGCCTAAACCAGTACGCCTAGCTGAGCTAATGCTGTATTTATGTTTATACTTAACTTAAAAGTTATTTTAACTTTTGGATACTTAAGAAAAGAGACAGGTGGTTGATATCTGATGATCTCAATTCAAAGCCAGTCTGGGCTGGAAAGTCTAAGAGACTCTTACCTTCAATTAACTATCAAAAAGCTGGAAGTGGAACAGTGGTTTAAATGGTAGAGCCTTGAGTTAAAAAACAAAAACAAACAACCAAACTTACGGATAGCACCCAGTTCCAATACTGGCACAATAAATAAATAAGCAAACTAGCTTGCATAGTCAAACATTTTTAACATATAATGAGATGTTGCTTATCAGTAATTCTTACCGGTTCTTCACTAGATTTTGTTGATTTAGTATTCTCTTTTTTTGGTCAGTTATGGGGCTTGGGCTCTGGGCCTGGGCACTCTCCCTGAATTCTTCAGCTCAAGGCAATTGCTCTACCTCTTGAACCACAGTGCCACTTGCAGTTTTCTGGTGGTTAATTGGAGATAAGAGTCTCACGGACTTTCCTGCCCGGGCTGGCTTTTAACTGCAATCCTCAGATCTCAGCCTCCTAAGTAGCTAGGATTACAGGCGTGAGCCACCAGTGCCTGGTCGATATTCTTAATATAAAGCAAAGCCTTTAGAAATATTGATGCCTTGGGGCTGGGAAGGTGGCTTAGTGGTAGAGTGCTTGCCTTGCAAGCTTGAGGCCCTGGGTTCAATTCCTCAGCACCACATAAGCAAAAAGAAAAAAGCCAGAAGTGGTGCTGTGGCTCAAGTGGTAGAGTGCTAGCCTTGAGCTAAAGAGCTGAGGGACAGCGCCCAGGCCCAGAGTTCAGGCCCCACAACTGGACCCAAAAAAAAAAAAAAAAATATTGATGCCTTAAGCTACTTTTAGTTTTCTTTTACCATTCTTATTTTGAAAAGCTGACATAACCCAAGTGCTGGTTCTCATGGCTATAATCCTAGCTTCTCAGAAGCCTGATAGCTGAAGATCATGGTTCAGAGCTAGTCCAGCCAGGAAAGTCTATGAGGCTATTTCCAATTAATCACCAAAAAGGCAGAAGTGGAGTTGTTGCTCAAGTGGTAGATCAAAAAGGCTCAGGGTCAGCACCCAGGCCCTGATTTTAAGCCTAGGACTGGCATACAAACAAAAAGCAGACATAAATCTACCTTTAAAAAAAGTATTATTCTAAGCTGGGAGTTGGTGGCTCATGCCTGTAATCCTAGCTACTCAGGAGGCTGAGATCTGAGGTTCAACAGCCTGGGCCAGAAAGTCTATGAGACTCATCTCCAATAAACCACAGAAAACCAGAAGTGGTGCTGTGGCTCAAGTGGTAGAATGCTCATCTTGAGCTGAAGAGCTGAGGTACAGCGCCCAGGCACAGAGTTCAAGCCCCACGACTGACCAAAAAAAATGGTATTATTCTTTTATTAATTTTGAGTCAGAGTCTTGGTAAAAATCCTATTTTGGCCTTATACTGTCTCATTCTCCCAGGTTCTGGGATTACAAAGTTGCACCAACCACCATGGTTGGTTAAAAGTAGGGTAAATGTACCTACTTTTCAACGAATTGCAGAGCGTTTTATAGATGTCCAAAGTTAGATTTAGACATACATAGATCATGTCCTGAATTACTTGTAAAACAGATGGTAGTGTTGTATGTTGTCTCCTTTTACTTATATTAGTAATGTTTCTGCAATATTTTTAGTTCATTTTTAAGATTATTTATATGGTTGTATATATACATATGGTTTTAAAAGTCATCAGCATATACACACACACATACTTATAAATCATATATCTTTAAAAGCCATCAGAATTAACTTATACTCTCATCCAAAACAATTTATTGTCACGGGACAATAATGAACATAACACTCGCCTCTGGGAATAAAGAGTTTTCACACACACACGCACACACACACACACACACACACACACACACACACAAAACTTGGCCTGGGATGTAGCTTAGTGGCAAAGCACTTGCCTAGCAAGTGCAAAAAGTGTCCTGGATTCAATCCCCTGTACCCCCCACCCCCCCCCCAAAAAAAAAAAACGAAATGCATAAAAAATTTACATATATTTGCCACTTACCCTACAAGTTTTAGGTACTAATAGATATTATACAGTGACAGCTTTTGGTCCTATTTTTATACTGAACAAGCGGTATTACTATTTTTTTTTTGTTTACTTTGTAGGCATTTGTAGGCATTGTTCATTATACACTACATAGTTCTTATATTATGGACTGTGATGGCTTGCGTGATCTTATGCTATCATTTTCTTCCCTCAAAAAATGATATTTTTACATATTTGATAACAAAAATGAAGGGAAAAGCTAGAAAGGATTCAAGAGATAGAAATTATACATGTTTTATAGTAGGAACAAAGTAAATGAACAAGGGAATGAGAAGCAAGTTGTAAGTGGAGTGCAGTTATACAGATGTTTGCGAGAGCCCTAACTGTGAAGTTCAAACAAGGAACAGGAAAGGTTAGTTACCTGATAAAATACGTGTATGTGTAAAAAAAGATGGGTTTTTCTACTTCTACACAGCCTTTCTTTATAAAATACCCTTGTGGGACTAGTTTTTGTTTTCTCTTTGTCTGTAATGGTTACTCTGTTCTGGTACTTATAAAAAAATGTAAGAATATAGCCCTGAAAAAGCAAATATACATAGATTTAAGAGTCCACTGCTTCAAAGGACATCGTCCAAGTTTAGGTTTTTCTAATAATTGTTTTCTATTCCAAAAACTAATTTGTTTTCTATAAATTGACATTGTATTTTAAAATAATAATATTAAAGTTAATAAATTCACATAAAAATGCCGTGCTTTCCTTCACTTATTAAAATAGTTTTAAAATACATCCCCTACGGTTGGGTTATTTTTGACAAGGTAATAGCTCTGATTCTTTAACAAACATCTAATTCCCAAACTTGGTTTTAGTGTCTATAAAATAATGCCAGTATCACTTATTTAATGGCATTGTTGTATAGATTAGATTATGTATACTGCTTAATACAAGGGAACTAATATTTATGGTGAATCTTAATCTTTTCACAATTGACTTTAGGAAGAGATAATTTTGTTGCAGTAGAAAGTTTGAATTAAATAACATGCTGGTTATTAAGGTGAGGGAAGATAGTTAACTGGGCTGCTGTGAGGTAATAGTTATAAATACCCTTTTTTGTGGTACTGGGATTTGAACTCAGGGCTTTGCACTTGGTAAGCGGGCATAATACTGCTGAAGCATGCCTTCCAAACTATTCTTCACCATTTTTAGGCTAGGACATTTTCTGCCCAAACATAGTTGAGCAATTACCTACTTTTAGGCTATCTGATGTTGAGATCACATCCAGCAGTAGCCCTCCCAATTTTAGCTGTTGTTTGGGATGACACCAGCTATAATTTGAGAAGAGGTCTCCTATATCTTTCTTTGTTTGGGGGTGGGGGTGGGGTCCGGTCATGGGGCCTGAACTCTGGGCCTGGGCGCTGTCCCTCAGCTCTTCAGCTCAAGGCTAGCACCCTACCACTTGAGCCACAGCGCCACTTCCAGCTTTTTTCGTTTTTGCTTATGTGGTGCTGAGGAATCGAACCCAGGGCCTCATGCATGCAAGGCAAGCACTCTACCACTGAGCCACCTTCCCAGCCCTCCTATATCTTTCTTGACAGAGCTGGCCTCAAATCATTCTCAGCCTCCCAAGTAGCCAAGAATACTATATAAGCCATAACATCTGGTTTAACAATTACAAATTTTAAAGAAACATTTTATAGATATCAATTATAAGTAGTCAATTTTAAAGTATTTGCTTTCTTTTCAGGAGTGGACGTTTCTGTTGTGAGCCAGCTGGAGGCCTTACCTCTTTGACTGAACCACCTAAAGGTCCTGGATTTGGTGTTCAAGCAGGCCTCTAATTTATGTTAAACTATAAATATGTCACTGGAGAAATAAAGCTCCTACTTTATATATTGTTTGTTTATTCCAGTGTGTACATCTTGCTGATAATCTAGCAACTTGCAGCTTTAAATTTTATGTCAAAATGACAGAACAATTTTAAAAGTAAACTGAAAAATTTGATAAGCAAGTTACTCCAATGTCGTCTACTTTCAACTGCCAACTTTTATCAATATTAGTTTCTCTGAGGTAAAATATGCCATTTGAAATATACTTTGCTTTTCCCAATTCAGCCACAGTCAAGTTTTTTTGTTACCGTTATCTTTCTATAAGCTGTATTTTATTTCATTACATTAGACATTTTAATACCTTTAATATACAGTTGTTGCTGTGTAAGATCATAAGCCTAGTGTAAATGTAATCAAGCAAGATATAGTTTTAGAAGCATTATATCATTTTAAAAAATAAAGGTTGAGAGAATCTGTCACTGGTGGCTCATACTTGTAATCCTGGCTACTCAAGAGGCTGAATCTGAGGATCATGGTTCGAAGCCAGCATGAACAAAAAAGTCTTGAGACTCTTATCTGATTAACCTGTCAGTCTTGAAGGAAAAATCCAAGCAATAGCATTAGACCCTGAGTTTTCAAGCCCCAGTATTCACATATACACACACATAACAAAAGAAGTTATCTTTGGCTATATTGAAATTCTGCAAATATACAAAAAATAATTGGGGGAAGAAACTGGAAGGAGAATCTTGGAAAGACTGGTAGAGATGCAGAATAGAGAAGAAAGATGTGCTTTGCATTTGTGAATAGCTCTACTAGCCAACCTCTGGTACATAGGGAGAGCCTACCTTTAAAAACAAAAACTGAATATTGTTATGTATGCACTGGGAAGTTCATACTTTTTTTTTTTTTTTTGTCGGTCGTGGGGCTTGTACTCTGGGCCTGGGCGCTGTCCCTGTGCTCTTCAGCTCGAGGCCAGTGTTCTACCGCTTGAGCCACAGCGCCACTTCCTGTTTTTTAGTGGTTTTTATCGGAGATAAGAGTCTCACGGACTTTCCTGCCCGGGCTGGCTTTGAACCCTGATCCTCAGAGCTCAGCCTCCTGAGTAGCTAGGATTACAGGCATGAGCCACCGGTACTCGGCTTGGAAGTTCATACTTTTATAAGTTCAGGTCTAGCCTAGATGACTATGTAATGAACCTTATCTCAATAAAAAACCAGAACTAAAATTAAAACTTTGTTTTTATAGTACATTAATTTATTACTATACTAATTTATCTATAGTACATTAATTTTGCAAAGAGAAAAAATAGAAAAGTTTAATACATGAATATCTATAAAGGATTAAGTTACGTAAGTCTTTCTGAACAATGTCATCTCTTCCTTCATTCTCACAAGTTATATAGTTCTTTTTCAACATAGTGTCTAGTGAATATCACTGCTGCATTGGTTCATCCTTTGCCCCAAAGATAAATGAACAAACAAGACAAAAGGAAAAAAAACCCAGCAACAAAGAACAAAAGCTCTTGTGTCTATTTCCTGGAGTTCATTTTGATAAATATATAAGATGCATATATTGGCCTTGCTCTATTTACTAGTAATTATGATGTCCCATAACTAAAAAAAAATACTTGTCTTTAAAAATGCTTTTAAGGCAATTAAAATTTTCCTTCCACCTAACAGCTTTCTGTTCTCATGAGCAATTATTTCTTTGCATGTGATGCCATATATACCAAAATTACTATTCTACCCCTAGCCATAAGGTACTCTTAATATTTTATATGGGAGAAATCAGGAACCAAAGAAAAGGGGATGATGTAAGTGTATGTTTTACATAATTACCTGTTTGGAATTTTCCTTTTCTTTTTTTTTTGGTTGCTCCTGGGGTTTGAACTCAGGTCCTGGAGTAAAGCTCTCTCTTAGCTTATTTGCTCAAGACTGTAGCACTCTACCAATTGAGCCACAGCTTTACCTCTGGCATTTTCTGAGTAGACTGTTGGAGATAAGAGTCTCACAGACGTTCTTGCCCAGGCTGGTTTTGAAGTAGCTAGGCTTTCAAGCGCAAGGCACCAATGCTCAGCCACCAAGTTTTCATTGATACACTGAGCCTTCAGTGTTTATGTCCTAAAGCTTAAAACACATTAAGGCACAAATAGATGCTTCAGTTTAGAGGCTACCGTTAACAATGAGTGAAAAGATTGTGAAAAGATTAAAACACTTGAGTGTTTTAACTCCTTGGGGTGGTTATGGCATGTGCATCCAGAGAAATTTAGTAAGAGTATGAGCTGCCAACATGGTGAATTTTCTTCATGCACTCATTCTCAGTATTAATACCATGCGTCGAAAAACTTGTGTTTAAAAAGGCCACTGAAACAAGTGGCTGTGAGGAAGTATACTGATCTGGCAGTACTTGCAGGTGCGGCATCACTGCGTGGGCGGGGCTGAGGCTGAGCCCTGACCACGCAGGCGCACGCAGGCGCCACCCCTCCTTTACACGCCCAGCACCGTGGCTGCCCTACCTCTGCTGTGTCATTTTGCCAGATCTGAACTAACGAGCTTGTCCACCCATCCCTATAAAGATATCACGATTCTCCTTTGTGGAGCCTCTTCAACACGACGCCGCCATTTCCAGAGAGCCCCTATTATGATCATCGCAAAGAACAACAGTGTCCGTGCTCCCTCTTGGCCAAACTGCCTCCGCCTCAATGCATGCGGTGGCGGCGGGGGGGGGGGGGGGGGGGGGGGGGGGGCAGCTCGGCGTTCTGGCCCGCGCCCCCACGCCGCTCCTCCGGTCAGGGCCACCTCCAGCTGCTGCTTTGAGACACCTCTAAGCCGCAGGAGGGGCGCGCGCCGGGGGCGGGGCGGTCACGCCGCCTGTCTCGTGCCCGGTGAGGTCACGTGTCCTCGAGCATCACGTGCCTGCGCCGTATCCAATAGCGGGAGACGCTGTCCCGGGAGCGAGGAGGTTGTGGTGAGAGAAGGACCGAGACCCGAGATGTTTTCTAGCCTGGCTCCGCCAGGGTTAGGGGCAGTTGAAACGGCGACGAGAACGGCGACGGCCGCGAGAAGGCATTCGCTCAGGGGCTAACCCTCCTGGGCCCACCGTTCCTTGAGTCTGCGAGGACGAGGGGGGCGTGGCGACCGAAGAGGAGGAAGGAGGGCGCGGTTTCGAGCCAGTCCCAGGTGCCGAGGAGGAGCCCCCTCAGTGTTTGGCCTGACCCCTCCTCAAAGCCAGGTAGGTGTCGCCTCTTGCCCTGCCCACCCCCCCCAGCTCTTCTGAAGCCGCTAGGCGACTTCTAGCCTTCCGTGCCGAGGTCAGGCAGTGACAGGCCGTTAGTAGCCCCGGCGCGGATCTCTGATGCCAGCTACAGCTCCAAAGAACAACCTCTGAAGTGGAGTCGTCTCCAGGCGAGGAACGGGCGGGGCGGCGCGGGCGCCCTGGTCGCCGCCTACTGGAACATGGCGCGGCTAAAGCGAGTGCGTAGTAGCGAGCGCCGCCCAGAGGGCGCCGTCTGCCTACGGGCCAGACGGCAGGGCGGAGGCGCGGGCGTCAGCGCGTGCCCGGCACTAGCTACGGTTAGTGCGCGGGCCAGCAGATCATGCTCAGCACCCAAACCCAGGCGTCGGATGCCCAGTGGTCGTGGTTCGGAGGAAGATGGGTGAAAGTGAGAGGGAAATTGCTGTTCCATGAGCTCTCAGAGAAAGGTGAGCCGCAGCGCCGTAGTTTCGTTCTAAATACCAACATGATGTCCTAGCCACATTAGGCTGTCATGGCTCATCGTTGTAATAGTGTCTGTTGGAATGATGTTCAGAGGCCCCTTAGATCGCAGCCTCTAGGATCCCAAAGCGTTGACTCGACGGTTGTACAAACAGCTTACCGATGCACAGCTGACAGTTGTTTTGATAATCTCAGTAAAAATTAAGGAGATTACACTAGTTGAAACTGTAGAAAAACCTTTGAAATGGCGAGGGCGTTGCGATTGTAATTCACTGGAAAACCATGGCCAAACCTCGATCTTGCTTGAAATATGTATTAGGGCCAGTAATTAACTCTTTTCCTAATATTTAAATAAACCTGCATTATCAGTTATGTGTTCCTTTTTTAAATCTGTCTATGTAAATTAAAAAGGCACACAAATAAAATAGCTGTTTGAAGTTAACTGTTGATTAAAAACATACCAAAGTAGGCTGTTAAAATTTTTGAGCACTGATGTGTTCAGTTTCTTCGGTCCTTGCACAAAGGCTTTCCTGGAGATTAGCTCAGAACTGGCAGGACATGATTTATTGGTGCTAAGTGGCTTAAAAGCAAAATAAGACAGTATCAACTGTGTAGGATAAAAATGTTATATTAATCTTGTTGAGAACTCTTTATTTTGAGTTTAAGGTTGTTAAGATTTGAAATGCTTCTTCCAGAAATTGTAGATAAGGGAAGAAAGATTTTTACTACTATTTTCTAATTTAATAAAGCACTGGAGACAGCCTTATTCAAATCTAACTTAACTCTTAAGGGTGTATATTTTGTTGTAGAGCAGGAAAGCTTTTCTGGAAGGAAAATTGGAGTGTTAGGTGTATTTGTGGAAGGAAAATTAAGAATGTAAAGCAAGATGCATTTACTGTTGTTGATTTTTCATAGTTTCTATAGTCATATTAAGAATTTATAGTTAATAGTTTTATGAACTTAGTGGAATGTGTGTATTCCAAGAATACTTGAGGAATAAAGAAATCAAAATTCTCTTGTATTGACTTTTTTTCCTTTGCCAGTTTTAGGGCTTGAAATCAGGGTCTGGCTTTCAGTCACCTTGTCCAGATCATGACTTGTACACTATCATTGATCGATGCCTCCAGTTTTGGCTTTTGATGGTTAATAGGAGAAAACTTTGCACCCTCTCTCTTCAAATTGCCGCCCTCAGATCTTAGCCTTCTTAGTAGCCACTGTCACCCATGTGTCAAATAAGAAAGCTAGAATTTTATTTTGAGACAAGTAACTGACTCACCAATGAATTTAAGACTTAAAAATCAGAATTCCATTGTTAACTCTTTATTTGTAGAAAATTTTGGAAAATGGGATTGAGACTGCTTCTGAGGTTGATTGGGGAAATAGTCAAGATATTTAGAAACCACTTGGTGGGAAAGAAATTTTTATTCTAAACTATGAAACATGAAGAATTTCTGTAAAAATTGCAACTAGGTTGCCTAAGAACGGTTGACACTACCACTTTTTAACTTGGAATTTATTGCTAACAACATATATTTGTAAAATGACCCCTGTAAAAGGTACCCTGTAAACGGTAGGGTA